TCCATTTACACCTCTAACAGCTGTATTCTTCAGGCATCAGTGGACAAGGTATTCCTCCTCCTCTTCAAGGTACCTCACCACAGGTGCCACATTCTCACTCCCTTCTTCTCAGTTAGCTCCCTCCCTTGTACTTATAACTTCTAGAGAAGTTCTATCCTCTCACCTGATTGAGTTTGAATCTCTCATTAAAGGGAAAAAGTTCTTGCAGAAGCCTGGGTGGCGGCATGATAGGTTAGCGTCCGACTTCAGCCGAATCGCGATCTTCGCTTGGTCTGTGGTTGAGCCCGGCAGCGTCGAGCTCTGGGCTGATGGCTCAGAGCCTGGAGCCTCTATTTCGATTCTGTGTCTCCCCTCTCTCCGCCCCTCCCCGTTCATGCTGTCTCTGTCCCAAAAAAAAAAAAACGTTGAAAAAAAAAAAAAAAAAAAAAAAAAAAAAAAAAAAAGGAAAAAAGTTCTCTCTCTTGACCCCATGTTTTTCTATTTAATGTGCTTGAAATAGTAGTTTACAGTTCATCTCTTATTTATTTCTCAATCCCTGGAGTTTCCTATCTACCCTCGTGTCTAGTAAATTGTTGTTCTCGGTTAAAATATTTTCCTGACTAAATCCTATTATTATCAATCTTTCATTTTTACCAAAGACACTCTTTGCTGCCACTAATCTGTTTGTCCTTTTTCTTGAAATTCTATTCCCCAGCCTTCTGAAATGTAATAGGTACTTTTCTGTGCCTTACTCTAAATTTTGTGATTACTTCTTCTTTCTACTTTGTGGCATCCTTAGCACCTAAACATTGGTGTTTTTCTACTACTCTGTCATTAGCTGCTGTGTATGGCGTGTGTATATCCTATAAAATCTCAATCCTACTTATGGTTATTATCAACCATATACTGACTCCCAATGTGCATCCCTAGTCTATTCTATCAACTTCAGATATACTGTATCACAACCAGCTGGATAATTTTACTTGAATTTACCTCAAACTAGAAAATCCACAATTAAATTCATTATTTTCCCACATTACCTACAAGTGCACAACAAGTTTTGTTGGAAGAAGAGAAGGTAACTTATATAGACAATCTTCTAATTCCTGATTTAATACCACATCCCTTAGTCATGACAAAATCAAAGCTATGGTTCCTTATCTTTCTTCCCCATGATACCAATTTTTCCAGAAGAGAGAGAAGTTGATAAACTTCCCCTCATTTCTCACTTCTTGTCAATATTTTACCCCAATAATTCAAAGGCCATCTCAAACTTTTGCAGAAGAGGGTCTTTCCTTATCAACCAAATACTTTGTGAATCAGTTATTTTCTTCCATTGTGGTAATTTATATATTATTACGCGCATGGTGGAGAATCTTTCAATCACCATTAAATTCATAAGGGAAACTGGTTTCAATTTTTATTGATTGATTGATTGACTGATTCTAGTGAAGTCCAACATCTTTTTTTATGTCATTTGGTCCTTGTAATCCTTTCCTGTCAGATTATGTTTCTGGCTCTATTCTTCGTTCCTTTATTATTTCACCAAGACTCTTTACATAATGTTAAGAATATTAACTTGTTATATATGTTGCATACCCTACTCTAGTATATTGTGCCATTAATCTGTGTTCTGTTTGTTTCACAAAGAAATTTAAAATTTTTATGTTGTCAGATCTCTCTTTTCTTTACAGTTTCTGCCCTTGACAGTCTTCTTACTACAGTCTTCTCTGTCTACATTTTAAAATATTAATCAAAAAGAAATTTCTGCAATTATGGTTAGGAAATAATCTCTATATCTGGTATTATTTACTGTTTGGATGTAGTTTAAAAAATTTTTTTTAATGTTTTATTTATTTTGACAGAAGAATAGACAAGAGCATGAAGCGGGGGAGGGTAGAGAGAGGGAGACACAGTCAGAAGCCGGCTCCAGGCTCTGAGCTGTCAGCATTGACATGAGCTCAAACTCACAGACCCATAAGATCATGACCTGAGCAGTAGGACACTCAATCGACTGAGCCACCCAGGCACTGGATGTATTTTTTAAAAGATATTCAAAATTTCTATTTTTCTATATAACTCATCCAACATGCCAGCACTATTTATTTAATAGCCATCATTTCCTCTCAACATCTGTAATCAAATACTATATTCTGATATATAGCAGGTTGGTTCTGTGCTTTTCCTTTTATTTATTTTTATATAATTTATTGTCAAAGTGGTTTCCATACAACACCCAGTGAGTGCTCATCCCAACAGGTGCCCTCCTCCAATGCCCATCACCCACTTTCCCTTTCCCCCATCAGCCCTCAGTTTGTTCTCTGTATTTAAGAGTCTCTTATGACTTGCCTCCTTCCCCTCTCTGTAAGCTTTTTTCTCCTTCCCCTCCCCTGTGGTCTTCTGTTAAGTTTCTCAGGATCCACCTAAGGTGAAAACATACAGTATGTGTCTTTCTCGACATTTCATAGCATAATACTCTCCAGTTTCATCCACGTTGCCTAAATATTTGAATTTCATTCTCTCATTGCCAAGTAGTATTCCATTGTATATAAACCATCTTCTTTAGCCATGCTGTCAGTTGATGCATATTTTAGGCTCTTTCCATAATTTGGCTATTGTTGGAAGTGCCTATGCATCAACACTCCCTCTTCTGTAGGTAAATTCTAGCAGTGCTATTGCTGGGCCATAGGGTAGATCTATTTTTTGAGACCTCCACACTGTTTTCCAGAGCAGCTACTGCATTCCACCAACAGTGCAGAAAGGGTTCGGCGTTTCTCCTATCCTTGCCGAAAGCATGTATAGTTTCCTGACTTACCATTTTAGCCACTCTGACCAGCGAGGAGATTGGTATCTCCGTGTGGTTTTGATTTGTATTTCCTGATGATGAGGAGTGGCGTTGATGTGCTTTTCCTTTTATTCTACTGATGCTAATGACAACAAATATTTTTTCACTTTAAAATGCATATGTCTGTACATACTACTTGCTTATTCTTGCCATTCTATGGGCAAAAAAGTAGTATTATTATTATCTTACATGAGGAAACAGGCACAGCTTATTTGTTGATACTTCCTGGTAATAACAGTCCAATAGCGATTAGAGAATTTTTAAAATCTCTTTATCAGAAAAAAAATGACTCTGTTTTAGTACTACAGTTTTAAATGTCTTTATTTTTTTTATTTTTAATGTTTGCAGAGAGAAAAGAGCACAAGCAGGGGAGACAGGAAAAAGCAGACACAGAATCTAGAGCCAAGCTCCAGGCTCTGAACTGTCTTTGGAGAGCCTTAATAGCAGACTCGAACTCACAAACTTCACAAGATCATGACCTGAGCCAAAGTTGAAGCTTAACAGACTAAAGGAGGCACCCAGGCACGCCTAAATATCATGTTTAATAATATTGACTATCTCTCATCTTTCTCTTTTATGTATCCACTTGGCTGTGGCAATGGTTTAAAAAACACAGGCTTTTAGGGAGTCAGTGCTCTTGGGCTGTAATCTTGTTCTCCACACTCATTCTGTATTCTTAACTGTAACGTGCCTCATAATAGCTCTACTAGAATAAATAGAATAATGAGGAATAAAATATTATTATTATCATAAGGTTGTTATCAGGATTAAGTGGTAAATGTAAGTTCTCCGATATTGTGAATTTGCATGATGCCCTATAATCTAAATATTTTTCATGAAGACAATAGAAGCCACAGAGAGTGGGTATCTTCCAAGTGCCTAAGAGAAAATAACTGTCATCCTAGA